ATGACATATTTGTGTTTTTTTTTTAAAGAAAAATAAAAAAGTTCTCTTATAAAAAAAAAAAAAAGAGGTAGAAGACCAGGGGTGACATCCCGTAGATTCTGACAGGTTCTGGAGAACTGGTCGTGGAAATTTTGAGTAGTTCAGAGAACTGGCAAATACCACCTCTGGCTGGCCCCAAAGTGGGGTGGGAGTGGGGATTTTGCAGTATCCTTCCCCTGTCATGCCCACCAAGCCACTCCCTCAGAATCAGTAGTAAAAAAAATGAATTTCACAATGTGGAAGACCAATAGAAAAGAATATTCGGAGCTCAGGGTTGAACTGTGAGGTCCTTGGTTGTTTTCCTGCAAACATTTCATTACTCAGCTAGTAACCTCATTAGTGCACTAGATGTTACCTAGTTGGGTAATGAAACATCTGCAAGTAAACAATTAAGCTCAGAGAACACAAAGCCAGTTCAAACTGGCTATTCTATATTGAATAGTCAGTTTTAACTAAGAAAGTCAACATAACTTATCTTTATGAATCCCTCCTGAAAATAAACTGAGTCATAGTTTTCCCTAGTTTACATATCACTTTCTCCTGCTTCTCAAAGATACACCTTAAGCTCAGAAAAAAATAAGATATTGCACTTTATCAGTACAATTATGAATTATGTATACAACATTTGTATGGATTTAGTTTGTCATGGAATCCAACACTGTACAATTCCTAAATTATTGTTTAACAGGTAGAAAATGTTTCTAGCTGTGAAAATGTAAGACTATACATGTTGGAAGATTCAGGTTTTCTTGTAAAATTTTATTTCACAGGGGTGAAATACTATATATCTTATATATTTCCCTACTGTAGACAATCAAATCAATCTTTTGTTGCTCATAGATCAGCACATAAAACATGAAAGTCACAGTTAATTAAGATAAAAAAGGATAAAATATAATTGTTCTAAAATATGTAAGAGAAAATAGTGTGTAGAATACAAACTGTAAAACAGCGCTTGGTTGTGGTCAAGGAAATGAAATCATATTGATCTGACAATAACAACTTTAGATAGAAGTCAAAACTATCAGGATATTTAGTAAATACCTAACATAATAACACCTGCAACAACTTATTCTATCATTTCAATTATTCTTCTGCCACATGGACATAGTCTTTCTTCAAAGGGGATCTCCTGATGTCTTCCTTCAGTAATGACTGTCAGGAAGACATTGAATCAGGCTAATGATAATTTGGTCCTTCTAAATTTTGGAATCTTTATACAACTAAGATATCTAGCTGGTTGGAGAAAGTGTGCAGAATGGCTCAAGAAAATGTTTCTGGTAGAACTGAAAGTCTGCTTACTTCTTCCTGTATACTTCCTAGCTACGTCCTACACTTCCTTCATAATCTGAAACCTACTTATCTTCTCTTCCTGTAACATCAGCTTCTTTGTACAAAGGAGACAGGGTCTTGGAAGCTCCTTTAGACAGAGATTTAACTCCCTACTGTATCTGCTGGCGAGCAGCAGTTCTTCTAAGTATCCAACCAAAAAGTTTAAAGTTATGCAACTAATTTTCATAAGAAAGTGATGTTCCACTTTTTAACTATAACAGCTTTAAGAACAGTAATAATATACTTCATTCTTATGAAATAAAGAAAAGATAAGACAGTATCTTACTTCAAACCATGGCACGCATTAATGCTTGCAGTTGAGTCAGTATCATTCTGGATGTGCCCGCTATAGTAGCAGTGATCCTGTATGGAAGCAAGAAGACTACACTGGATTGGACTGTGATTTGTTAAGCAGCAATGTGGTTCCAATGTATTCCACCACATAAGTGAAGTAATGAGCAAGACAGAAAACAGTCCAGAATAGTTTGATTGGTGGGATACAAAATCTGGCTACTATTGATTGTTTCTTTTTTTTATTAGCTTATAATATAAAATACAAAAGAATATAGTGGGAAAGTAGCGAAGGGAAAAGTATAGTTTTAGTTTAGTTTTTAGTTTTATTAGTATTTGTAGGCCGCCCTTTTCCCTGAGGGGACTCAGGGCGGCTCACACAAAACCGGGAAGGGGGAATACAAACATAAGATAAGAACATATAATAAAATAGTAGGCAGCATACTTTCATCATTCGGGAGGGGTATCTATCCTTACCCCCGGCCCTGACGGGGGAGCCAGTTCTT